AAAAGCGGGGTGACTCACAGGGAGAGAGGTGGTGATTGACTGGGATGGGTCATGATGAAACTTTCTGGGATTATAGAAAATGTTTTATTAGAAAATGTGCAATTCTGTGCACATAAATTACATCTCATGGGCCAGCCCCATGGCTCACTCAGGAGAGTGCGGTGCTGGAAACGCCGAGGCCGTGGGTTCAGATCCTATATAGGGAAGGCCGGTGCGTTCACTGGCTGAGCGTGGTGCAGACGACACTGTGCCGAGGGTTGCGATCCCCTTACTGGTCAAAATAAATAAATAAATAAATAATAAATTACATCTCAAAAACAGAAGCAGATTGGTACCACTTAGTACCACCCCCATGAAGAAATAGAATGTTCAAAAGTTTAAAAAATCCTTAAGTCAAGGCAGTCCTTTGCTGGCTTTTATATCTGCATACTATAAGGCAGGATTAAGGTTATTTTGCCAAAATTTGTCATCCTTGATTTACTTGAAATATGTTGAGTTATTTTTAAGTATCAGCTTTATAATCTGCATTGTTCCCATATCTCCTAGGTAAGAATTGCTTAATCATTTGAATCCTCTTTCTACTACTCCACGTAACTAGTAACAATATTGTGAAATATTTTCACATTGTTTAGAACTGTGTCAACAAGTGGGGTGGAATCTAGTGTACAGCAAGTGCAGGGCTGGGCTTGGCTTAGAGCATGGAGAGTTCACCCATCATAACAAGAGGCAAGGCAGAGCCTGTGGACCCAGGTAAAAATAGGTAGGATGGGTGGCAGGAGTTTGTAGAAGCTCTATTCTGACTGTATTTTATTTTCAATGAGGTAGCAAGCAAGGGGTGCCCTTTTCTTTTCAAGCTGAACCACCCTGCAGTCTCAGCCCAAGTGCTGGCTCCTCACTGTGGCTCTCATCCCCGCCTGCCCCTCTGGACTCTGTGCCCCGGCTACCCTGCCGCTCACTGAGAAACCCATAGCCCTGTGCATTGTGTTGCTTCTTACCTGTGTTCTGGCCGAGCCTGTCTCCCATGAAAGTCCTCTTCTCCTGGAGGCCAAGGGTTAGGGTTAGGGTTTTACATGTTGTTGGTCTCAGGCTCAGATTTGGGAGCATGTATGTTCAATAAATACCCACCGAATAAAGAAGTTTTCCCTAATGAGCATGTATTTGTAATTTTTACTTGGAAATGCTGGGGAAGGGGTGGCTAGTGGCTTAAAACCAAAGATACATGTTTCCTGAAACGAGCATAGAAAAATGTTTCCATCTGAAATTTTAAAATTAAAACTAATCTCAACCACAACCAAAAGACTTTTTTATTTATTTATTTTTGTCCTAAGGCTGGATGCCTCCTTAGGATTCTCCTGAAGAAATGGTTAAAAATTTATACTCCTGGTGCCACCCTTGGATTTTCTAACAAAGTGGCTCCCAGAAAGGAGGATGAGTGAGCGCTATTTTTAGCAACCCTGCTCAGGTGATCCCATGCGCAGACTCAGCCAGTGGCGAATATCAACCCCCTTTCTCTTCTCACATATGAGGCGCTGCTGGCCCCGGGTGGACTAGTAAACTGGCCAAAGCCAAGAACCAGACCTACCACAGAGATGCAGAGGAAAAAACAATAAAAAAGTGAATCCCTTTCTTCTGTGTTTTAAAATCTCCACATACCTGATCTCCATGGGATGAGATTATATATGCATGGGGGAGAGAGAGAGAGAGGAGATAGTATCGATGCATGTTTATTTACTTAATTGATCTTCAGCTCACAGTGTTCTCAATAGATGGAAGTTGTAGGAAGTTGGAATTTGGCTCTGCTCTGCTACCTCAGACACACACACTCTCACCTTTCCTTGGGAGCTGGTGGGAGGCTACTGAGCAGCCAGGCTAGCGGGACATCCTGGGCCCTGCTTTAGGAGGTGACAGCTCAGGGTGTGGTGGCACTCCATGCCAAAAGGAGGTTCAGCAGAAATTCCTCAGGACCTGGACCTGGGCCCCCAGGAGCTCCACATACCTGAAAATAAGATAAATTAATGAAGAAATCTGAACTGACTCTCTTCTCTGTCTCTCCCCAGGCCCTGAATGGCTTCCTCATGGCGGTTACGGAGGATGGCTACGTTTTCTATGTTTCTCCCACAGTCCAGGACTACCTGGGATTTCATCAAGTGAGCGTTTTATTTTTCATTTCAGGGTTTGAGTTGGGGGTGCACATGCCCCTCTGTGGGGGGCTGTGTGGGGGTCCCAAGCCCCAGCCTCCTGAGCCCACTGTGTGTGTGAAACAAACCTTCCCTAAGTACTGGCTTCCTCCCTTGCTGGCACCTATGGATCCCGGGCCTCTGAGGAGCAGGTGCCAGGGCAGGATGAGGTGACAAGGGGTTCCTTGGGGGATCCTGCAAGCAAGGCGGGAGGGGCTGGGGAGGCGGTGGTTCCCAGAGGACTCGGGAATCCTGGTCCAAAGTCACCATCAGAGGAGTCTGCACCTCCTGGGGACAGGCCTGCCGGGTGCCCCCCACGTTGTCACAGGCTGGGGTCCCCCTCACGGATGCCCCTCCCCTGCGCTGCACAGACCCACTTCTGCATGGGTGGGGGAGCAGCTCCTCAGCTCCCCATGTCCCTGTCCCTGAGGAAAGCTCAAAAGGGAGAGGTCAGCGGGGCCAGCTGCAGCCCCCGTGGCCACAGTGACTGCAGGGCATCGGCGCTTGCCCTCCCCAGCTCTCCATGCTGGATCTGTTGCCCTCGCTGCCTCTCAAAGCTGACCTGGGCTGTGACCCAACCTTCATTCCAGAGCGTCTGAGCATGGAGACATCAGGGTGGGGAGCTACGGAGACCAGCTCAAGGCAGGCTCACAGCAAGCCCACTGAGTCCCTGGACCCACCCAGTGGTCATTTACCCATTCCCTGAGCTCATCAACGCGATAGATCTGGTTGATAGCTGGAGCAATCTTCAGACTAGGTCCTCGGCCTGTGGGGTGAGAGGTATCAGTGGAAAAGGCCGAGGGAAAATCTGTGAAGCTGCCCCCCAACCCCAGCCAAGATGGTAAATTGCATCCCATGGAGGTGGCAGAAAGCAGTGGCACCATCAAAGGTCTGAGCATCCCAGGGCTGGTGGTCCCTTCACATCCCCATCGAATCATCTGTCTGCTCCCTGGAGAAACAGGTGGAACCCGGTGATGACTCCAGACTGCTCAGATGTAACTACCTACTGGGCCTGATGTCAGCTGCCAGCAGAACCTGGAATCACTGCTGCAGCAGGTTAATGCACCCTCGGCAACAGGGTCCATGACCAGCGATTTGGCAAATGCATTTTTATCTGTTGCAGTTAAAAAAAAGGGAGAGAGAGAACCAGAAATGAACCACATTCATGGGGGAGAGACAGTATTAATTTAAACATTTGCCTCAGGGCCATGTTAACCTTTCCCCTCTGTCCTAATACAGTCCAAAGAGGTCTGGACACCTGCACATACCACAGGACACAGCACTGACCTGCACAGTGACCACACCACACCGACAGGGCAGGCTAGTTAGGTAGAGGCCTTAAGACACATGCTCCCAGTGGGTGGGAGATGACCCCTGTTAATGCAGAGAACTGCACATCAAGGATGTTTTTAGGGGTCCAGTGGTCAGGGCCATGTCAAAATATTGCCTGCAACATAAAAGAAGGCTGCCATTGTTCAGGCAGGGCACCCTAGCATCAACTTCATGGAGAAGTGACCCAGGGTGCAAATGTGTGCAGATTCTTGAGCAGTGGCCAATGCCTGTCCATCTGGTCAGAGGCCTGCAAGGAAAAAGACAGGAAGATTGGAGACAAGGACATCTGAAATAGGGCGTATAGCTAGACACAGGGGAGTGGGCACCAGGGGTGAAGACTTCTGTGTTGCACATTAGTGTCCGTCAGAAAGTATCCACTGTAGAAAAGCAGACAGCACGACTGGGCCACACAACACCAGCCAGCCCTCATTACTGGCTGCCCCAGAATGGCACAGTGGGCGTGAATGGAGCAGCTACGGTGGCAAATATGTGCTGTGAGGTTCTCCAAGTCCTTCCCTAAATGTGCCTACGTGTATTACTCAGGTGACCATACCCTGGGGAAAGACTACCCAGACATCCTGTGTCTGCGGCATGGTCACCTGAAGTAAATATCTTGTCATGGTATTGCAGGGCCCTTTGCCTAGGGACTCTACCACCTTTTCAGTCAATGGATTACAGACAAGAAAATTGTCTCAGGCCCATAACTGAGCAAAAGCCCTCAGCCTCCTGACCTCCATTCTTGCTTTTTTTTTGTAAATGTTAAGCAGCAGCATTATTGTCTGCCCATATACTTTGCCCCTAGGGACATGACGCTCTATTAACTGTCTCCACCACTTCCTGTGGGCCAAGCCCCCATCCATCTCTGTTGCTTGAGCTTGCCTGTTGTCCCTGTGACTGCAGCCTGCAGGCTTCTGATGAACAAGCGTCTGTACTACTTTAGGGACCCATCATCCCCATGGATATCAGTGAGTCCAGCTCTGTGACTTCTCCTCTTAAGGTCATCCATGACCTGCAGAGGAGCGCTTCTACCACCGAACTTCACAGTGACACAGGTGCCCCTTCACGAGGGCACTCCCGATGGCCTTGGTGAGTGGTGTGTCCCAGGGCCCTCCCATGGAACAAAATCTCTGGTGGGTCTTCTGGAACCATAAAATGCTTTCATTCCAGCACACCCATTTCCCACAGCCTTCCTTTGCCATCTGCCAGGACAACTCGTGTAGGACCACGTCCCTCACCACTGGATTTTTCTGGGCTTCTTAGAGCCACCCCAACAGTGAGTTTCACTATTTCCTGGAGTCCTCACTAGGGTGTGAAATCCTATGTCCTGAGAAATTAAGATCTGACTCTTGCAAAGGAGAGATGGAAAGAAGTTTAAATGGGCAAGTCTTTGGTGGTGGCACAGTTCTAAAGAAGTTTGACAATNTTCTCCTCTTAAGGTCATCCATGACCTGCAGAGGAGCGCTTCTACCACCGAACTTCACAGTGACACAGGTGCCCCTTCACGAGGGCACTCCCGATGGCCTTGGTGAGTGGTGTGTCCCAGGGCCCTCCCATGGAACAAAATCTCTGGTGGGTCTTCTGGAACCATAAAATGCTTTCATTCCAGCACACCCATTTCCCACAGCCTTCCTTTGCCATCTGTCAGGACAACTCGTGTAGGACCACGTCCCTCACCACTGTATTTTTCTGGGCTTCTTAGAGGCACCCCAACAGTGAGTTTCACTATTTCCTGAAGTCCTCACTAGAGTGTGAAATTCTATGTCCTGAGAAATTAAGATCTGACACTTGCAAAGGAGAGATGGAAAGAAGTTTAAATGGGAAAGTCTTTGGTGGTGGCACAGTTCTAAAGAAGTTTGACAACGCCAAAGGGGAGCCCTTGAGACAAAGTTCCCATCGGAGAGGTCCTGGGTTTCCCAGGAGCATACCTGCCCTAGAGCCACAGCTGATGGATTTCAGATGCAGCTGCCGGGGACGTCTCATAGCTACAGTCCCTGTAGTCGCAGATCTGAGGGAAGGTGTCCTGTGCCTCCTAGTGCTGCTGTGCGGACTGAATGGCAGCGGTGCACGTGCAAGCACATCACACACTGAGTGCTTGCGATGGAAGGACGTGTAAGATGTTGTAGCAGTGGAGGGTTTCCTGAAGTCAAGGCAGCGAAAAGACTCAGGACCCCTCCTCTCCATCCTTCACACATTCCCACACCCCCCACCCATATGTCCTGCAACTTGCCGAACACCTGCACTGGGACTTCTCCCCTCTAACTTGTGATGAGAAGATGTATGTTGAGAAGTTTTACAGTCTTTTCACCTTTCCTTTAGAAAAAAATTAATCTGTCAGTATCACTGTATCAAGTTTTCAGTTGGGAATCTGAGAAGGGGTTTGATTCGTCAAAGACAGACCTGAGGCTGCAGCCCTTGCTGGAACCTGCACCCACACCCCTCCGTGGGGCGACAGGCAGTAGACATCAGGAGTGGGGGCGCTAACCTGCCAAGATACCCTTCTACTCCAGGGCCTCCGGGAGGACTGAACAGAGCTGGGGGGAGGGGACAACAAAAAGGGGGATAAATGGGAGAGAAATCAGGATCACAGGAGAGAGCAGAGAGTGGAGAGCGGTGTGGGGGGTCAGGGAGGAAGCGGCCTCCAGCCCGGGGCCTCTGCCCCTTGCATAGCTCCCCATAGTACTGGGTGTGGCTGTCCATCCCTACCGCATGGCCCGGCAGAAGCAGGAGCACAGGCGTGCCTGGGGCTGTGCTTGTCAGTGCTCGTGGCACTCCTCGTTGTCTTTTCTGTTTTCCCCTGATAGTCCCTCTGAAGGTAAGCTCTGGAGCCCACCCCCTTGGCCTCAGCCCCTTAAGGTCCATTTTATGTTTTCATAGACCCTTCCTGATCCATTCCTTCTCCTCAGACTTTCCCTGCAATTTGCGGGTCTTCCTCGCACCTGCCCTTTCGTCTTGGAACCCCGTTTGCCAGCCCCTTCGATGTCTTTGTTCTTCCCTGGATTAGCTTCCAAACCTTTTAAAATGTTTATCACCATACTGTGCCCTGGGTGGAGAAGCTCCCGAAAAGCTAATTTTCCAAGTTCAGTGGCAGAAAATGGTTATATACAACAGGATCCTAAAGATCATGCTCTGTGTGGCAGGAGGACAGTTAAATGCAAAAAAAGTGAAGAAGAGTATGACTTATTGGGGATGGAATTTGCTTGAACAAAAATTTTTACTACTGATGGGGAATTTTTGAGTGCACATAATTCCTCCCAGAAGGTCAAGAAGAATCCCCAGCCATATCCAAATAAAGTATAA